GATTGTATGCCACTATTGTTCCGGTGGCGTTGGTTTAAAACGCACTGGTTATTATGGAGGAGCTGAATTAAACAGTTTTCGGTTGCCGGCAGTAAATAGGTGATCGGGAAATGCCACTGATACTCGTATGAAATTGTTTTGCTGATATTTGCTAACCCCAATGGGCGTAATATAAAATAGAAATACGGCTCTACATCTTATTGGAAAGACAATAAAACTTTTTTAGGTAGCCCCTTAAAAAGTTTATTAAGCTTAAGTATTTCAATTTTGCCTCAATTATTCAAATATTTAATGCCTCAAAGTACGTTCATTATGAAACCGGTACATGTGCTGCAATCTGAAAATGCAACTGTCTGATCTGGGGACATCTCCACTAGACATACCTTCACATAGGCTTGGAGAACAACTTTTCACTACAAAATATATTTTCCAGCTGTTCCGTCCACCGATTGTTTTCCATTGCGGCCTTAGTTCGAGGTTGGGGTTTTCCCAGTATCGAGAGCGTTCGATGGTTGTGTAAATAGACAGTGCCGTCGGAACTGAACATTGAGTAGGAGGTGTTTGGTAAACGTGTGGGTGTGGGGCGACGGTCCTTTGATTCTGGCGAGATTAAACGTGCGGCAGACGGTGGCGCCTCTATCGATTGTTGTTGTAATTACAACGCTATCCTCGCCCAGTCGCAAATGAAATTGTTCCGGACAGAGCCAGCTCTAGACGCCACGGTGAGTTTCAGTTGTCTCCGGGGCCAGCGGGGCATTGTGCACTGTATGCCCCTGATAGTGGGGCTGCGGCGGGGAATGCGCGCCGCTGCGGTTGCGGGAGCGTTATTGCATACAATGCATCGTCCAAGGTTGATGAAATTCCCACGCCCACAGTGGCAATGTAAAATGTAAGAGATTCGGGCGGTTCCGCTTTGTAATGATTTTTATAATGAAATCGTACATAAATGGGGTGTTGTTGTCATTGGAATAATTCGTTTTATTTGTTTGAACTTCTTTACACATTTGTAATCTTAGCTACTTACCTATAATGGATAGTTTTCAGTTTTTGTAGTTCGTGACTCCACATTAAATTTTTATATCACATTGACATAAATATCTCGAAACTTTGAAAGTTCAGTAGGTAGGTATAATGCTATTTTCTAGAAAGAGAACCAAATTAAGAATTGAGGAATTAAAATAATTTATTAGCAAACCTATTACTTAATCAATTAGAATTCAACTAGGTTGGACGAGAGCCTTTAATGAATAAGAAACTTCACCAGAGCATTGCTCAAGAACATTATTTAGGTCAGAAGTGACTCAGTAAACAATTCTTGGTATTTGGTACTGATACGGTACTTAAAACAAATAGAACAAGAAACTGAGACACTAAATCAAGAAAATTCTAAATTATCTTTAAAATTGACAATGCTCAATTAGCCCAATAATAAGTAGCCCATGGACAATTCATTTCAAGAAACTATAGTACTAACAATCCCACTTATATTTCCAAATCAGATCCTAAAGCATACATTACCCCTATAAAACTTTATGCAGAGGTCTACAGTCATATACTTTGCATACTGCCCAATAGTGCCCTCCCAAATGTAAGCCTTAACGGTACGACTGCGCAGTGCAGCTACGTTCCAATTCATTCCAATCCAAATACGAATGGGAATGGAGAGAGCAATAACAGAACATTCGTCGCCGCATTTACGTGTACGTCCCGTAGACGCCCCCGACGCATGCGCTTCGGCAGCTACAGAACAAACCGAGTTCCAATTCCAATTGTAGAAAAAAAATAACCAATTCCAAATAGAGAAGGCTTCGCGGCGGCCAATGGGAGGGCTCAGTCGTAATGCCGACTGTGTGGGCGGGGCAAGTGATATCTAGCATTGGAATGCTGGTTGTATTTGTTTTGCCGGATTCGAAGGCTTTATTGCTCGGTGTTTGAGCCTCTTTCCCTTTGAGGGTGCGCCGGCGGAAAGCTCGCTACGGAAATGGGATGAACCGTCTCACATAATGTACGATTGCTTTGCAGCCTACTGTGACCCACATATACATCTGTGATTGTACGGTTAGAAGACAGATACAGAAATAGCAGATAGAACATGATCTAGATTAATTACTTAATTATAAAGTAACAACGAACAGAAACTGGAGTTTATTAAAAAATAAGCAAAGATTTGATTAAAACTGTAAACAGGAAGATCTTCATACATAAAATTAGGTTGTAATAAAATTAAGGAGTGTCCCTCTTCCGACTTTATGAAACTGTGAGTATTGATTTTTCGATAGGGAAAAAACGAAGGCAACGATCTATGCAGATCTGGAGTGCTCTCCGCACATCAGATGGCACCGGCGGGGCAGCCTCCGCAGACAATCGAACGGTGGGGGCCCCCACTGGAGGTCGGGGAACCGCCAAAGAGCATTATCCACCACTGGCTCCAGGAGTGTAGAAGTGACAGTGCTTTGAAGTGCTGCTCAACGAAGAGGACTGAGGACTAGACTTGTTTTCTGCCTCTAAGTTGTGCCCCGTTATAAATGTGTAGTGAGATTTTTAGTACAAATGAATTTTCATTAAATTAATATGTTCATTGTGGAAAACCTTGGGGGAGGCCTTTGTCCAGCAGTGGACGTCATTTGACTGAAACGAACGAACGAACATACATGTCCTGGTTTTTTTTCTCATCAGCTCTGAGAAACATAATGTAACATGTATTCTAGGAAATCACATAGGTACGTATTTTTTATGTCTACAGTTGCTCTTCAGTCCAAACAGCTTTCGTCCAATCTAATCCGTTATCGTTTCATACTGACATTGTTTTGAGGTTCCTAACGTCCCTCCAACTCTTTTCAAAGCCAAACCGTACCTCTACGAACATATTCTTTGCCGATATCGACCCGTCGCCGGCGACTTCCCATTCTCGAAGTAAAACACGGCGGGAAGGAAACCGCGGGATAAACCGCCCCCAGCCACCCCCACCCGATCTTTACGTTTCAGGAATAAATATTTCAGAGCGTGTGCTTCGGAAGTTAAAGTTATGTATCGCCCGGGCCACGGTAACAATCTGAGAATGAGAAAAGCCCGCGCTACTTTTACGTAAGTTGCTTTGTGTGGCTCGGTGACGTCTCTGAGTATTCTAGCATTCTAGCTACGTACTTCCATTATTCACGCGTTGTGCTACGTACGCTGAAGCTGTAATGCACAGCATGTGCCCGCAACATGTCTCTTTTTAAATGTAATTTCGATATTACACTTCTTATTTGGGGGTTAAAAGGCTTAATAAAGAGACTGACGCCTAACAGGTAGAATGTTAGGAAAATTCTTTATTATGATTTTACGACGGTCCTGATATTAAGCAGGCATAAACACATTAATTATGTCACCACACATAGTAGAATCAACCTTTGATATCGTTTCGCATTTTATCGTAAGTACTAGTTCCGAGGTAGTTCCCGATTTGAAAAAAAAAACTTTAAACGTCTTTTCAGGGCTCAAATTCAACACTGTTTACCAATACAATTGTACTGTTTTAACATTTCTTACTTATTAGAACAGGTGATAAAATCGTTTGTCCAGCATTTTTTGTAAGTAAATAAAAATCATGTATATTTATTATTTAAATATTGATGATATTCCTCATCAGTCAATCAATCCTATTCGTTCACATTAGCAATTCGTGCTGTATAATAAGTGTGAATAAATAGTAAAACGTTTAATTTATTCCCAAGGAATAATCACAGAGACACTAATAGGCAATTACTAGGCGAATGATGTTTATGGGGAGCGACAGAGACCTTGAGCCTTCCAGCGTCATCACTCTATAGATCTATGACTCAATCGAAAGTTTTAATTGGTCTCTATGAAGTAAGTACACGTTGTACCTACTTATTATTATTATTATTCCTTTATTCATCTTACTTTCTTATTTTTAATTTTCTTATTATTATTCTCTTTATTAACTTTGGTTCTTAATTTTAAATATTTTTTTATAGGTAATGTAAATTATAAAAAAAAAAAAATACATTAGGTATCAAAAAAATATTATTATTATAAAGTACGGTCTAAGTAGCTACGACTGTGAAAAAGTTAATCAATGTTGCGCTGAAAAAGTGATCAGTATTTTTTGACAATTGCAATTTAATGATATAGTTTCAGTTTGAAGTATGGGATTAAGCTCGGAAATTTAATGATTATTTAAATTAGCTTAGCTTAAATTTTTTATTAATTAATAAAAGCCGTAATAAATTAGTACCGACGTGAATAAGGTTTGATATAACGAAAATTTATTTACCACTGAAAAGTTTGAAGATTCAGGAGATTTTATTTAGTTATGCGAGTATACTCTAACTCCGAGCCTCCACTTTATACGTATTATTACGCGTAGAGTAAATTTTCATTATCGCCGTTTTATGGTTTTCTGTAAGGTCACCACGATAACAAACTACAACCTCACCCAACTGCGTCTGTGTAGACTTACATGTTCGCTTACAAACTTTACTTAGAAATATTGAAAATACACAAACATAACTTTTAAAGCGCCAATAATCAAGAGGCTATGTCAGTCGAGGCTCTATTTATTTTATAACGTACTTATAATAGTAAATGTAAAATGTAATAATGACGTAAAATCCAAATGATTTAATTATTAAAAAATAACTATAATTATGATTCTTATTTTTAGAAACAAGAGTTACTTATATTACACAAAATATAAAAATACTTAATTAAATTAATCACGTTATTAAGCAATAAAAACGTTATTTGATAACATTATTCAATGCATGATGCAATTTTATTGTAAAAATACAAAATGAACAATTATAAAATGCAAAACGCACGGAAATCTTTATAGTGCAACAATGCATTATTAATATTCATAATACGTTTATATTGACATGATCGCGCGAACGTTAATATTATGTTAATTTATTATGCTAATTGCATATTTGTTTGATCATTGGAACGAAATGACATGACCTATCTCACTTACTAAAGTAACTAGGTTTACTTACCGGCAGGGCAGTTTGTTGCTGTCAAGATTATAGTGCTGTGATCATAATAATGTCCGATTGCACTTTGACCGACACCGGTTTTATTGGCAGGTGAGAGACTTCGGACCAGGAAAACGTTCGCTTCGCTAGATGCAGTTGCACTAGTGATCGAATCGCGATTACACTCGCGTTTCTTCGTATGCAGTTCTTACTACGCACTAGCGGCTAATACTCGCGAGCGGCCAGTGGTGGCCTACCTTGCTCTTCCGCATGATAGATTAGTAAGTTAGAAAGATTAGATTCTTGCATCTAACGTAGAAAAAGAAATAATATTTAAAAAGAGTAGATAAGTACAACTTATAATGATTCAAAGGTTGTGGAAATGATTTCTTTCTTATTTAGTATAAAATATTTTATTATACTATTTTATTCAACGTATTGAAATTGAGGTAAACTCTCTGAAAATGTTATATTTGACGTTCTAAGAAAATTTATTTTAATAATAATTGTTCTTCCATTTCTGTTCAATCTCATTATACTCCTACCCTTTGTTAATTGCTCTATTCATCTAAATTTCCGTTCGTTACTGAAAGATATATTTTTTTAAATGTTCATATATAAATATGAACTACTACTACGATAGAAAACTGAGTAGTTAGTCAGCTAAAAAATGAAATGATAACTTTATAGTATTTATAGAGTAATTTCCAGGAACTGTTAGCCATTCCAGAGTTAAAGTAGATTATTTAGTACTAGTACCTACCGAATGTACACTACAGGACTTATTGTTAAAAAAGCGTGTTAAAAAGTAAACTTTTCAAAAAGGTTTACCAACGCTGGGAGTGTAAGTATATACTTTAATCATGTAACGTGAGTGTGTATACGTTTATGGCAGCGTCATTTTACAGCTGTGGCGTATGTGAAAATTTTTTACCTTTCAGAATTTACGTCATTCTTTTCCGATACGGCATAGGTAGTATCTTTAGTTACGACGTCATCGTAATACATAATGATGCATAAGGGCCTACTGATGAATTAAACTAAGAATGTATTAAGGATGTAAAATTCAAATAATGTACGAGTTTGCATTGTTATAATCGAAGATTATAATATATTTTAACAAATTATTGTTGTAATTATGTGTGCTCAAAGTGATGCTTTTAGGTAAGTACACGCGCCTTGCCTATTCCTAAGTTAGGTAGGTACCTACCTGTTGCATACTTGGTGGGCCTAAAAAGTTAGTGTTTAAACTATTATCATAGTGTTGAAAAAAAAAACTCGGGAAACGTGGTATTAGTTATTTTAGTAACGCAACGGAAACTTAAAAGAGCGTGAATTTTTTATAAAAAAGTGAAATATAATTAAATGTATTTTTAAGTAGATGTTTTAATAAATGTTCACTTCAAACATAATGTCTGTTTTATTGGTATTTTTATTTTACGACACTGTAAAAGCAATTGTAAAATGCTAAACTATTACTTAGTTTATTATATTATGAAAGCTATTTATTTACATTCTGACATTGTTCAACTGATCGCAATTTTTTTTTACATTACCTTACTTAATCCTAAGTGATGGATGAGGTGTCCAAAGAGTTGAACTCCGAGTGACTCCGACTCAAGTATACTAGGTTCGAAGTAAGTGGGACACACATAGAGAAAAAATACTTTTGGAATTTTGCTCCTAACTCGAAAATAAACTTTATTCGATCCCTTTATTCAGGTATCACAATTTGATATACCTACTTACTACAGCAGTTGTATTTAGTTCAGGACATTGTAAACAACTGACTGTAGAGCTGTATCTAAACTAATATTATAAAGAGGAAGGATTTGACTGTTTGTACTTATTGAACGGACTCCGAAAACTACTGGTTCGATTTTATAAATTCTTTCACCATTAGAATCCCACCTTATTTCTGATAGGCGATACAAAGTTCGCCAGGTCAGCTGTAGAAAAATGAATATTGGCACAAACCAACCTGTCAATAAACATCGATGGCACAATTATACTTATTGGCATTGCGCAATACTTATATTGATAGATACGCAATCAATTCCGCGTCGATTTTTATTGCTTACGATATGTTACTTCGAACATGTTTATTACTGACGTCGTGTATCCGTCTGTTGCATTATAATTTTCATTCATAAACATGCCTCTTCATTTCTATAAATAAATAAAGATTGACAGGGTTGATTGTGCGTGTTCCAATCTTACTGCATTATAAACTTACTTGTTTAAGATGAAAAATGGCTTTCCATTTTCACTCTGTTTGTTTTTCCAATAAAGCGAGCAATACAAGCATTCAGAATCCTAACAACATTTATACAAAATAGACATACATTTTTCAATTTTATGCACTAGCTCTACATAGTACGTAGGTATTTAACATTATTGTAACATTGTACAGTTACAAATAGATCGTAAAGAGTTTACAATGAAGTTGAACCACCTCATAAATTAACAACACTATAATCGTAAAACCTTTCCATACAAATAGATAGGTACATAACTTGTTTTTGATCTATTTGACGAATGTCTTTTTGTGGTATGCACCACATATAATCAAATCTATTATGGAAGGTATTCAGGGATTTTCCTAATTATATTTTATGTCATACTAGCTGACCCGGCGAACTTTGTTCCGCCTTAATGGCAATAAATAAGTAGACTTTTTTTTTATTTCGAACGGGATAAAAAGTATCCTATGTCCTTCTCCTGGCTCTAAACTACCTCCCTGACAATTTTCAGCTAAATCGGTTCAGCCGTTCTTGAGTTATAAGCGAAGTAACTAACACGACTTTCTTTTATATATATAGATTGAGAAAAGAACAATAGTAAATAATAATTAATGGTAGGTAGGTATACCTAATAGGCATCTCTTGAGGTATTCGCTTGTAAAGTAAGAAAAACAACTACGGATAGGCATGCATGATGCCTCTATTCCCTAATAAGTAATTTAACCTCACTAATATTGGAAATATTGGAATATACTGTATTTGGGAATATGTGGGAAAGAGGAAATAATAATAGCATTGTTCAAAACAGGTAATAACGTAGGTCAGAATATAGTCATATAGCCATTGATATGGAGCAATCATATTCATAATGCAGCCAATTATCATGTCGACTAATTTTGTCTAGAACTGTTTAGAGGTTTGGAATCGCAAATAAATAATGAAACGTTACTCTGACTCTTAAACTTATTTAAGGGTTCATCACAAGAGTTTAATAACTTACTATTTCAATCAGTATTTTCTTTTTGCTTAAACAATATTCAGTAATACAGGTAATCAGAACCTACAACAAATTGTCTTAAGGAAATCATGAAAGCAGACTCCGAAAATTTTCTATTTTCCTATCGTGGATGTATGGAAAACGTTTAACAGTCAAACGCAATTTTTTAAATCGTTCGTTCGTTCGTTTCAGCCGAAAGACGTCCACTGCTGGACAAAGGCCTCCCCCAAGGATTTCCACAAAGACATTTTTTTTTAAATATGTACTAGTACTCGTAAATGATGCTTCGTTAGGTACTAATATCTATTCTATGCTATAGAAACTATGGTGCATTATGGTTATAGTCCAGCAATTGATTGCGTGACGTGTAGTTGAGATAATTGGACTACTCAGTAGTAAACAAATACGGAGAAACATTTAGTATGTATGAGTTAATGGCGTAGTAGTAATTCACTACACAAAATGACGTACAGAAATTTCTACTACGCTGCATTTCAGATTAATATCCAATTCATCATTATTCCATCATTCTAACATTGATAACTCTATACCAATCGAGTACACAAACACACATTGAAAATGCGAAAGTAAAACTTTTTATTAGGTTTTAAGGATAAACTTCTGAAACAGTTTTGTTGAACTTTGGTAGGTATAGCGATTGGAACTAAAAATAGATAGGTAAAATTAGTGATGAGATAAACTGGAACTAAAAATAGAGAATACGTAAAATGGGCGCTGAAAGTTTGTACGGGGAGCCCATTATTCCTCGTATTATTATGAAAAATATTGAAATTAATTTATGATTTTGTTAATTATAAACTTTTTAATCAACAATTCCTGGAACCAACAATTCCTTCCTGGATTCCTGGAACTACCTAAATAAGTTAATTAATATAATAAAATTCAAAACGCTTGATGATTGCTGGAATATACCGCACGTCACTGAAGGTAATATGACAGTTTTTTAAGACATAGGTCTGTAATGCCGACTTGCACCCAATCTGGACCAAAAAGGAGAGCAAAGTTTGGTTTAGACTTTAGCCTATGTTTGTATGAGTTTTAAATCAAAACCTTAATACTTGTTTACCTACTGTTTAAGTATGTGTTTCCACAATTATAATGTTGGTCATTTTACAATTGCGTCAACACAAGACAGAGTTCACTCGGCATAGGTACTTATTTACTTACAAAGTTGTACATTTTATTTTAATATGCATAATTATTACGCAACTGTAATTGATTTAACGAGCCATAAATAAGCGAGAACGCTGGGGACTTATTATATTAATTGCGTTATTATAACTTCAATACTTAAACTAGCATCTAGCTGTGGCTTCACCGTTCAAAACCATGAAAATTCAAACACATTATTTTTCCGATAAAAGGTGGGCTACGTCATATTCTTTCTTAGTAGGTATACCATTTTTCACTAAGCATTCATAAATTGGTTAATAACGGCAGAGTTGTGTTCTTTTATCTGTATTTATTTGTGTACCAAATGTATCATCTTATAGTATTTTTGTAGTTTCCCTACTTAAGTATTTTTTATAACGATCATAGCAAAATCAATGGCTTAAAATAAAAAAGGTAAAGAATGTTTAGGGTTGTTGTTATTAAATAAAGAACTAAGTTATGAAACTGTTTTGTTATTATAACGTTTCTATGTTTATAGGTCATTGTTAGTAGAGTAATAGTAAAGTGCGATAAGTATGGCACACGTGACATTGGTCAGGTGTTGTTTCTTTGAGTGCTGCTACAATGGATAAACGTAGATTAAGTTTAGAAATATTCTTTGACGAGTAGCGATAATGTAAAATACCTACTTACTTAAAGAAAAGTTTTGTTATGCCCGTTTTCACCATCATTACATATTTTTTAAGTGGGGCTAAGAAAAGAAAATGCCAGTTGAGTGTTACCATAGAGGTCACTTAAAAATATTGATGGCGAAAACGGGCATTAGACAT